TTGAATTAGCGCTTTCTTTTTAGCAAAATTTAATTGGAACAATAATTCCAAATTTAATAAATGTTCCTTATCTTTCAACTATTTGATCTTGCTCTTCAACTATTTCACCTTATTTTTTGACTATTTGAGAAAACAAAAATTGATTAATATCTAATGATACTCGATATTTGTGTTTTAAAACTCTGAATTATGTTATATTATAACAGTAGTAATTAGTGATGTGTCATATCATAACAGTAATTGATGAAGAGATGTGGAGGAGAAAAATACGCAATTATGTTGCTCGAATTATGCAATCATCCAATGATATTTAGCAGGGATAAAATTTATGGAATGTTAATTTTATTTCAATTTTGAATTCAAAAACATTTTTTGGGATTGAAATGGAGAAAAAAACAAAATTAGTGAAAAACAGATAGATTTAATTTCTTAACTAAAAATTACTCTAAAGAATGATAGATTAGTTTGGTTTTAAATGTTAATGATGATAGAGTGAAATGAGTAAGAGAAGAGGCATTTTATCGCTCTATTCAAAATAAAAAGAAATTTGTAACTTCTATATTTTTGTTTTTATTTAAAATAACTTAGATTAATGTTTAATTTTATTTTGATGAAAAAAATGATAATATGATACGTTCTTATAAAATAAGCTAAAAATTTAATTTTGACTTTGATGGATGTGAAAGGAATTACATTATATTATTTAAAATATTGAAAATTGGAAGCAGTAAATTGGATAGTTTTGACTTCTCATTAAAGTTAAATTGTCAATGTTTATAAGACAAAGTTTAAAATTTAAGTAGAAAAGAAAAGATGAAATAATAATTTTAAGTAGAAAAGATGAAATAATCTTTGCTCTGATTTCATCACTCTCAATTATTTAAAAAATAAAAAAATCTATGATGTGTTTACAGACAAATTTCTTGCGCAATTGTGTTATCAGCGGAAAAGAAAGAAAGAGAAAGTTAATTTGATAAGAGAGACAGAGGCGAGATTGTCATTTATTTTCTTATAAAAGGATAGAAATAGGATAGCAATATTATTCCAACTATATATGCTGATAATTAATTTTATTTATATTTAAATTTATATAATTAGCAAAAAAAAGAGAATGGAATATAATCGTTTTCAATTTGTTCAATAAATGAAGTAGAAGATGGAAATGAAATGACGATAAAAAAATTAGTGGAAATTGAAAAAAAAAAAGGTGATATTAATGAGTGCAGCTAAGCGAATTTAAATTTGATAAATTACTGCGTTTGCGCTTTTACCAATCACATTTTCACTTCTTCCATAATAGAAAAACAAATTTATTCAAAACAAAAAAAAACGGAAAAATAATTTCTTTCTTCCGTTTTTCTTTTTTCTTTATTGAAAGTGAGAGAAGAATTTGATGATAAAAAATTGTATTTGGTAAAAAAATTTTCAAAAGTATAATTTTTGTGTGGTATGAGAAAGGGAAATTTTTTTAATTAGGCTGAATGTGAAGGGAAAAGGAATGAACTAAAGAAAGATTGGTCGATGAATTGTTATTCACATTAAAGGTAAATGATAATATGGTGATGAAAAGGGAAGGGAGAGAGAATTTCGAATGTATGTGTATATGTGTATATGTGTGTGTGTGTGTGTGTGTATGTGTGTGTGTGTGTGTGTGTGTGTGTACATGTATTATGAAAGGAGAAAATTTAAGCAAGCGGTTTTTTAGTTTTGATTTGAGTAGCGATGGAAGTGTTGGGCAGTATTATGGTGGAACGCCGTATGTCATCACAATTTCGTAAGAAGGATGGATACGTAAGCCTGAGCATCAGATATATTAGGACTTTCATAAAGAGAGAGAAAAGAAGAGAGTGAAGCAGTTTGAGGAATTACTGAATGAATGTTGAGGGAGGTAAGCAGAAACTCTCTGAGAGAAATTTAAAAGCTGTCAATCAAATACGGAAAGTAAGAGATTCAAAAGTAAATTCTTTCCTTTTGGACATAGCTTATAGCTAATATTTTTGAAGCCTAAATAAAAGTCATTTCAAATATAAGTCCTGATGTGGATCCTCAAACTTTCTTCTTTCTATTATGACATTTCGAATGATACTTACATATTTTTATGCATTGTATAATGACTGATATCAAGTATAAAGAGAGTCGGACAGAGAGAGAAAGGGAGAGAGAGAGAGAGAGAGAGAGAGAGAGAAAGAAGGAGTAGTGGAACCAAATTATCTGAATAGCTTAATTTGATAGTTCACTGATTAATTTTTCAAAAAAAAAATTTTTAAAACTTTTGCAGTTATTTCTCCGTTTCTCTCTCTCTTTTATGTCTTTCCCTCTCTTCTCTCCTTTCTCACTTTTAATTGAACGATTGATAAATCTTTCATTAGAAATAACAAATTGTCGATTTATTGGAAGATGCTTTTTGACTTCAGCAACAATCAGCAAGACGATTTTTTCAATTTTCTTCCGAAATATTTAAATTGAAACAAAATGATTAGTAATTTAAATGAGGTTAAGATTTAAGAGAAAGAGAGAAAGAAAGAGAGATTATCAATGAAAATTTTCTTTTGTTTTTGCTCGATTAAAACTAAAATCGATAGTTTAAACACCAAGTAGAAAATGGGATTGCACAATCGATATTACCATTTTGCTTAATGTTAATCTCCACTTCAACTTTCATATCAACAATTTGCGGCTAAGATTGCCTTAATTGAAGTTATAATCTTTCGAAGAAATATGGAAAAATATTCATTGGAAAGTAAAATTAAATATAATTCCATTTCAGTGGAATATATAAATAAAGGAATATTTCCAAGAAATCGCAGGAAATTCCGGGAAATAATAAAATATTGAAAATTTAGTCGATGGGAGAAGGGGAAAAATTAATAATTCAAGAAAAATTGAAAAACACTTAAAAATGTGTATGTGCATATTTTAGTTAATAAATAAATTAGAAATAATTAGCAATGCTTTCAAGACTATTTGAAGATTTTTCATTAACATAATATCCATTTAAAAAAAGATTCTGAAATAAAAAAAGTAGAATGAATTTGAAAAAGAGAAAAATTTGAGAAAAAAAGAAAGGATGGAATAGAAGTTTGGAAGGAGACGATGAAGGAACGAGCAGGCAGCTATTTGAAGTGGCAATGAACCTGATAAGCTGGTGCTAAGGCTTACTAAGCAAACGAAGAGCAATTAAGCGGAGAGAAGGATGTATTGTTGCTATCTTGACGTTTTCTCTAACTCTTCATTTCAATCAGCTCATTGCACTTCGATTGAACGCCCTAAAGGCATTTTCGGAGAGTTCAACTTACAAATATTATTTCAAAATTATAGAAATATTTTATTCAGTGCGAGAATTTTTGAAAAAAAGTCTTTAAATTAGTGGAAATTAGGATTTAACTATATTATATGCTGTATATATATATATAGAAAAAAAATCAAGAAATGAAATTTAAAGTAAAGAGCTTAAAATAAACTTAAGAATTTCAATATGAAATTTCAAACTTGAAAAGTCATACATAATTGTTAACTTTGAAAAATTTTATTTTGACGGATAATATTAATGATTAGCAAAATTCAATTTATTTTAAGTCCTTTAAATATAACAACTTCAACAAAAATTTGAATAACATTACACTCTAAAGCAATTCTTCACTGTTTTCCTATGTGCTAGCAATCGTAAATATATGAAGACTGAAAATTTAGCATAAGTCACTTGCAAAGTATTGTAATATCATTCTCATAATTCTAGAAAATAATTTAGAACTGCCATCTTTTGGACAGAGATTTGATTTTTATTTTGGTAATTAATTAATCAATTAATTAATTAAGCGAGTTGCTATCGTTGAATGGGCAGAGAATATTTTCGCTTTGGAAATAAATGATGTTAAAATTAAATAATTTTGATATGGGAGTGGAAAAAGGATAAATGAGTTATTCAGGTTATAATGAATAAATTTTTTCAATAAAAATTTTCCTAACATTCATCTTTTATTCAAAATATTTGATTTATTATTCATGAATGTGAAAAAGAGCGCAGAAAAAATTGTGCAAAAATATTTTCATTTGAAAAAAAATGCTAAGTTCATTGTTTACTAGCATTTTATTTCTATCTTATCGATTAGCTTTTTGTACGATGAAAAATAGAAAAGAATTCCTTTTATGTTCCGAAATGTGATAATTTCATGTAAGGTTTCATTTTAGAAAATTCAATATCAAAAAAAAGTGGCTTTAACCATTTCCAAAATCCCGAAGACCGAATACCGAATTTGCAAAGATCATCGGTTGTGTTCAGAATCCGTTTTAATCGCAAAAAAAAAATCAATTTTTGGATTTTATTGAATTGTGAATGAGGTGAAAGATGAAGTAAATTTGTCAAAAATGGTCCATTTTTGTGATTAAAACGGATTCTGTAAAATTTGGATGAGTCCAATTTCGTCAGTCACTCGATTTCAAAACAAAAAATTGCTTTTGTCCTTAAAGTCCTTTATTACATTAGGGCAGAGCAATCCCGAGTGGTTAATGTTCGCACTCTCAATTTTTAGTGCTATATTTTTGAAAAAATATTGCCCATTTGTAGCCGTCGTTATTTTGAGCTAAAGTTTTAGCAAAACTCAAATTTTCGTAGGATTTAAATCCTCATAAATAACATGTCCTTCAAATTTGAATGGGAAGTTTGCATAATTTTGAACATTCCTAAAGGTTTTATAAAACTGTGTGATCGTCTTTTAAATTGTCATTTCATCATTTTGCTTATTCTTCGACCGGACAATATCACATTTTACAGTTCATGCACATTTGCAAACATTGTTATCCTGGACTTCTCAGCATTTGATTAAGTTGGTGATAAAAATCAGTGATTGCAAAAAACTCAATAACTGTTCCTTTTATATTTCTACCCTGAATTTGATCATTTTCGATTTTCCTAAAAACCTTAACTTTTTTAAAAAATTTTTTTAAGTTCAATTAGTGCAAATTACAAATGTGTAGGGAAATTACGAACGCATAGGAAAACAATGCAGAAAAATGAAGACGGTTCCACAAAACTGTTATTTTCGTCCGGTTTGCAAATCAACAAACATTTTAATTTGAATCAACTAATAAGCACTGGTGGCTTTGGACAGGTTTAGAATTTTATTAATTTTCTGTGATAAATAAGATTAAAGATTTCTTGTTCCTTTTTTTTCAATTTCAAACTCATTAAAATATTTACCTCTGAGTGCAAACTAGGAATTTTTAAAGTTTCCTCAATAATTCGATCTGAGAAAAAAAATGTTTAAGAAGAAATTTGAGAAATGAGAAATGAATCATAAAGAGTTAGAAGTTAGCCTCTTAAATAATTAGAAGTTAGCTATAATTAATATCGCATGAAATTTTTGGGAAATATATTGATATTCATTTGAAATTAGTACTTAAACATCGAACGATAGATTCAAGGAGACTGGATTTTAACTTAAATTGCTATGAGATCAAACTAGGGAGCAGTCTGATATTACCGTAGCGAATAGCCGATATTCAGGTCTATTCTGGCACAAATATTAGTACTGGTGAATCGGTCGCTATAAAAGCTGAATCAATTGATGCTAAGGTATGCTAAAAAATTCAACTATTTTTTAATTTGAAAATATCTAGAATGATAGCTTAAAATGCGGAATACAATAGTGACTGATAAATAAATTTTGGCTATTTAAAAATTGATTAAAAAAATTTTAAGTTTTTCATGCAGAATTATTAGACATAACATTTTAAAAGATTATACAAAAGCAAATCTTCCAAAAAAAAAACACCCATCAATAAAAAAATTGTCCCCATTTTTTCCCAATTAATAATTACAACAGATTCCATTGTTGCGCATAGAAGCAGCTTGTCTGGAAGCACTCAACCATGCTGTCAGACAGAATTTTCGGAAGCCTCCCAAAGAGCCGATACCAAATTATTACGGATACGGCGAAACAGAAAACGTTCGATACATGGTTCGTTAATAAAAATTCTCATCTTTTTTTTTTAATTTCAAATTTATTTGATCATATTTTTAATCTGACAAAACAAAAACAATGAAGAAGTTATTTCACATTTCTTAAATTTTATAATTAATCCAAATTCAAATAATGCATGGAGAAACATTTTTAACTTAAATTTAACTGATACTTTATTTAATGCTAAAAGGGTTGAATTTTAGTAGTTGATCACAATTGTCACTGTTACATTTAAATGATAAATGCTGAAAATGTATAAAGGATGATAGCGATAATGACAAATGATAATGATAATGGATTTATGCAATAAAAATAACAAAATTTAGGTGATGGATATGTGCGGAAAAAATATTCGCGAATTAAAGAAAAGCACAAAAGAAGATTGCTTCACAATAGTTACATCGCTATGGCTTATGAAGAAAATGATTTTGGCACTTAAATTTTTGCATCGTTTAGGATGGATTCATCGGTAATGATTGTTTTAAATTTAATTGAATGAATAGCTAGCAAACAGTTGAATGCATTAAGTGTAAATTTTAATCATTGTTTAAATGAAAATGGGTGAGAATGAATTCAAAATTAATTCTAAAAAATGAAAAATTTATGACACAAAATAGAGCAATAATACCGGTGGTCTTTTCAGATGATGAAAACGAAGATTTATAATTTTATCTTTTATATCTTTATATTTGTTAGCAGACAAGTTAAATTAAAATAACTGCTAAAATTTACAGAAAACAATGCTGATCTTTTGCAATAGTTAATGGAAGAGATATTTTAGTATTTAATTCAAAAGTTTAGTAAGCATTTTGATCAGTATTACTTACTCACTTATAGATTTGTTATCTTTTCTTCACTTTTTTTTGAAGAGATATAAAACCTGCAAATTTCTGCATTGGATTGCAATTGCAAGGAAAGCAGGAATTATACCTTGTTGATTTTGGTATGGCACGTCATATAATGGCACGTAACGGTGTCATTAAAACAAGGCGAGAATCGAGTGCATTCCACGGTACTGTTCGTTATGCATCTCTCACAACACATCGACATCAGGTAAATAATTCTTTCAAAAAAATTCCCAGAATCTTTTATGATAGCTCAAACTTTGTGATATAAATCTTCATCAAATAAAAGTAAAAATTATTAAATTGAGATTAAAGTATATCAGTTAATACATGTATTAAAAATGTTTCCATCAATTATTCATTAATTTGAATTTCAAAATTTTGATATTATGCAATTATTAGCATTGATCGATGACCAATAGAAGAGAAGTCTTTTAAAGCAGAAGCAGCAAATTTAATTATTTTTATTAGGATATGTCACGTTATGATGATCTTTGGTCCGTTTATTACATCAGTGTGGAAAATATGGTTGGACAATTGCCGTGGCGTTACGTAAACGAAAAGACAGAAGTGGAAAAAATGAAAGAAAATGTAGATTTGTTAAGACAAAAGTATGGAACGGAGGCAAATCCACCAGCATCATTAGTAGTGTTTTATCGTCATCTCTGTCACGCCAGTTTCTATCATGAACCAGAATATCATCATATTGTCAACGAAATCGTAAGCTCTATTTTTAATTTTAGTTTACACTAATATCATTATATTCTCAAACAAACAAAACACTGCATTTTAATTTCTGATCACTACAATATTCAGGATCTTGATTTAACTCAGCGAAATTTCAATGCAAATAGTCGTTTGGATTGGCAACCAGTTGAGAAGGTTACAATACTTTTTGCTTATGGCAACTAGTAACATGTTAATATATGTCTAAATCCAATTTTTGTAATTATTCAGCATTATAATACTTCGGAACAGATTAATCAATGATATTGCTAATATCAAAAAAGTATACTTGTTCTACTTTCTTGAGTTTATTGGAAAACCTCCGAAAACTTTGTTCATAAATAATGCACTTTAGCCCTGTCAACGCGTACCTTCCAATGATTTCGAAGCGAAAAATCGTCGTGTGCTATATGATCGCAATACTGCCAATCATAACCATAATCGTTCCAACTCAAATCATAACAATAATAATGGGCTAACAGAAAATGATGATCGATCCTACTATTTCATGCAGTCAGGCGATGATTTCTGATGGAAAATATAAAAGTGTGAATAATAAATGAGAAAAAAATCATCTGTATTCGTATGGCATACCCTTGATATATTTCTAGCATATATCTTCGATTTATTCGCCAATTAATTTGTAATTCTGTAAACTGACTAGCTAACAAATTTTTTGCTAACTTAAATACCGCTTCGACACACAAGATTTAAAGCACTGATTTATTAATAATTTATCCTGTAAATATCTAAATATAAATCTGATATCTTCAAGTGTCCTAGCAATTCTTAAATGCATCATATAAATATGCAAAGATTCATGCCACAGTCATAAAGTCTTCACTTCATGTTGTACGATATTACAATCAAATAAATTTCTCAAGCTTTCAGTATAACAGAAAATGAAGATAGGGATGGCTGCAAGAGTGTTGATACAGTATGTAATGCTTGTTCCGTTGCAGGACGTTCGACGATACTCGTGAAATGATCCTAAATAAAAAATAATTGTCATGATTTTTAGTTTAATGGATTTCATTGTGATTCAACTGAAAGACCGTTCCTTCTTAAATTATAAATTCCACTAGTCATCGCTTGATTTTTCATGATTTATGTAAGGCATTCTCACTTTGTTATGACGCGACCATAAAATTCGATCTCTTAAATCAACAGCTTTGATAAATGTAATCCCATCAATATCAATTATTCGATCGCCGAAGGTGAAATATTTTCCAGATGATGGACCGTGATCGTAAATGTAGATACTGGAATTACTTTGTTTGAATGCCAGATGAAGATGCTGTTGCGCTATTCCTCGGTCATTTTTCTTCCAGTCCATAATCACGAACTAAGAAACGAATTAATAATTGGAAAAATTGAAAAATCTTAGAATTTTAAAAGATTTTTACAGTTTCTAAAATTGAAGCTCTATGAAATCATTAATCTTCTACATCCTTTTCCTAATAGAAATAGCAGTAAATATGACAGTTGAATTAAAACGAACAAAATAACTGAAACCATCTTTTCTCTTGAATGAATTAGCACGTTCTCCTTCAACATGAACAGGTAGACTATAAACATTCAATGACACACAGCTCTAAATGAAACAAAAATCAAACCACTTGTATAATTAAAAGTAAAAAATTTGGCGGAGCCAAGAACAAATACAAAATGTTCAGAACAGACTTTGAAAATCAATTTATAGTGAGACGAAGGTGACAAAGTCTTTAAGTATTACCTTAAGTTGATTTTCCAATTTCTCGATTGTTTGCTGTTGTCTGATAATTGTTTCTTCCAGTGTCTCATCATGATGTTCATTTTCCTCAAGATTACTCTCCTGAAATTTGAATCACGGAGATATACATCGCATAATGGACAATATAAACCGAATAAGCAAAAATAGTTCAATGGTCACTACTCAATGCGGCTTATCACTGGTATTATCTCAACTGTCCACTTGGCCAAAGAAATTTAAACTGTTTCTATATTGATGGTCCAATTTATTTAATACCATCGGTCAACAAGCAGAAAAATTTCTATAGTTTGTTACAGATTTTTTGGAGTGTTCTTCCGTGGCAGATTAATATAAAAACTACTGCAGGAATTGTTATTACCTTTAACTGCTTAAGGAGTAATTGCAACTGAAAAAAAATAATCCCAATTGTTATGACGAACAGCACCTTCCACAATGTACATGAGCAGTCATCTTTGCTTTGGGTTCCATTATGTTTCTAAAGTTTGAAATTAAAACTGTTGAAATGCATAAAAGATGACTGATAAGAATTAATGAAAGAAAAAAAAAGCAAAAGTTATTTTAAAATGAAAATCAATGGAAAAATAAATTATTAGTCCTAAAAGCCCCTCAAAGATCTTATACTCCTCCTACCTTCTAAACTGTTCCGCTTTAAAGTAGCACAAGCGTAATTGCATTAATATGTATAAAGCAACCCATATAAGCGAATAAAATAATTTTCATAATAGTACCTGTCTACCATTGACCTTTTTAGCGCATGTTAACATCGCTGATTCAACTTCTCGTTCTTGTTGCAAATTATAAGATAATTCTGCAAGGATTCAATGCCAAAATCCCGAATTTTGAAACTATTATTAACATTCCATTACTTTTGAATGAGAGAAGATTATTTTACTATGATAATATTACTTTACTTTTAAAAAAGAGATAACCGACAATTTCTTTTTAGATGGTAGAAATTCTCCTACAAAAATATTCTCTTTAATCCAAACTTTTAACATTTGTTTATGCATATAAAAATAAAAAGCTATCGAACTTGGCACACGTTTTTTCACGATATGTTTTTTAAATAAATCAGTAAGTGGATCATTCGACTTCCCATCATCAGTCGCTGCATGTTTGGATATTCGCGCATGACTGCCAATAATCTAAATTTCAAATTAAATCATTTTTTGAATTAATTAATAATTCATACTTTCATTTTTCTTCCATCGGTGAATCAATCAGCGGATATATCAATATAAAAAAGATAAATATGATATTGTACGGTACTTCAGGAGACTGATGCTTGGCCGTATATGATGAGCAACTGCGCTACCAATAGAATATGCACTTCCTTGAACACCTGAGCAGCTTGACTAAATATATTCACTGAATATCTTAGTGGTTTTCAAATTTCCACAGTATCTCTACTTCCCTTTATTTTCCGTACTTAGTTAAACGTTTCTTTCATATCACTTACAGCAAAAACCACACAAACTTAAAGCATTGAAACCTAGCATAGGATGGGTTGAAATAATTAAATTCAAATAATAATGCGAAGAAGTAAACCATTACGGCATACTACTTTAACGGATACAGGAATGAGGAGATGGAAATGTCTGGAACCCCCAACCGGTTGAATCTCAACAGTAAAAAACTTTAACTAATATTACCAAAGACGAAAGTTAGGGCTACATCACTAAATAATTCTCAAATATGATTACTGTTGACAAACTCAACATTCAGACCAATTTTGCTATTGTTTTTCTCACATTTTTAAAGAGCCTTTGAAAAAATTCATACTTCGAAATCTTCGTTGCTTGAAATGCTTTTCTCACTACCGTCTTCCTTCTCAGATTTACCCTTCATATTGTCATCTTCAATTCCTGTAATTGACAATTTCAAATGAAAGAAAAAAAATAATGATTCAATCATTATATTAACATATTCTTGCAAAAATTTCGATGAATTTACTATAATCGATGTTCGATATCAGTTATTATTCCAATTGTATGAAGAAGATTCACTACTTATTTTATTACTTTTGCTAACTAATCAATCAACTGTTGGTTATAATTATGCTCAATGTCTTCTTCAACTTTTTCATAAAGTTTGAAGTGTTAATAATTGCAAAACAAATATTGAGTAAATAATTGTAATATTTTTCAAAAATTTGATTTTTTCTGAGTGGTAATTTCAATTATTCCTGAATGGAATTTATAATAGCAATAAGAAATAGCAAAAATTTTTGATTTATTGATTTAAAAAAAATTGAAGAAATAAAAATTTACTTTTACTAACGGTATCCGTCATATTATCAATCATCATATTTGCCATTCCTTGCGAAACTGAAACAAACGACACGCACTTAGCGCTAGATCAGTTGCTCAAAGTTAATGCTGATGGCGTTCTCAAGCGACCCATCCGCCACCACTCCTTCAATAATTGCCTTCCTGTTTGTTTATATGCGTGTGTGTGTGTGTGTGTGTGTGTGTGTGTGT